AAGAATTGGCGGGGGGGGGGGGGGGTGAGGGAACTGGATTGATTCGCACGCCCCCCCTGGAATTTCTTCATGCCCCCAGGGGGGCATGCCCCCCAGTTTGGGAACCGATGATCTAATCTATATCACCGAACATCCCTTCTGTAGAGGTAGGTGCTATTCCTGAGAGCCTGTCAGTGATGCTCTAGGGAGGACTGCTTTTTCACTTTTGTAGTATTCAGCTCTGTGTTTTACACTCTGCGGATCTCCCATCTGGAGCAAGTGGGAGGCTCCTGGGCTCCACCCCCACGTCCCCAAGGCAATACAGTTGATTGTAACATTACTGTGATAGGCCTGTAGTCGATTACTAATCTCTCCGTGTCTACCCGCAGAGCAAGGAAGAAGCAAAGAAGGAACTGTGCCTCAGAAGGACGATTTGAGTCACAATTATTCCTGGATATCCCTGGCATAGTTCCTGTACCATTACTTAGAAATGTGTGAAGTGCTCTCTCACAACCTGCAGAATGCACCTCTGCGGCTGTAAATTTGACATGGCTTGTATAGCTTAGCCTTCACCCTATTGCTGATTCTCAGTTCATCACATTTGATATGCTGAACCATAAAACTATTTATCTGTCAGCTAGAGTCTGCAGGGTGTGGCTTGTTTATTAACCAACCTCACCCATCTGAGAGCCTTGGGTGAGAGCCAGACACAATCTGGTCTGTAATTATTTCGTTTACTCAGTTGCCATCCTAAAACTGAAGTTTACAGATAAGAACATTATGGTCCCATGTGTTATCGAATGAGATACAACATGTCAAACATTGTGGAAAGGCAGGAAGAAAACGAGATCAAGGTCCGATTCTCCCTCATAAAGTTCTATCGTAGGGCCCATGTATTAGCAATCAAACTTGATTAAGATTACGTGATGGATACTCATACCTTTCCCAAGACCTACTGTAGCAACATTCATTATTAGATAATAATATTCCAGAATGGATGTAATTAATTATAGTGGGGTACTAGTCATTTTATGCTTAAATTAAGGTTGCACAACAATTTCCATTTTAGTCCTGTCACTAGTTGCTTGACCCTTCTGAATCATTCACTTCTGGAAGCTGATGTTTCCCATACTTAGTTTGTGTGCAAACATGCTTTGGGAAGAGGTGGGAGAGGAAATTTGATCCAAAAAACATGTTAGACATTTGTAAATGTAAGAGGAAAAATAAAAGAAAAAAGGAACGAAGAGAAAAAGGAAAAAGAAAATATTTTTTCAGCAATAGCAAATTTCTTACAGCCTTTTAAAAACAATCCTAGTACCACAGGTGGCTCAGATCTGCATGCTGACACCTGGGTTGAGGAACAGTGCAAGGCTTTGTTCCAAAGGAAACTGGTCTTGACTTGACCAAGTTAGATACATTTTAAAACCACAGACTGAGCACACGTAGATTTGTTCACCCGGCTCATCAGAGGGCAAATCCTGTCCCTTCTTCCATAGATGTGGAGACTTCCTGGGCAGAGAGCCAGCGTGTTTCCGGAATGCTCTGTTGAAGTCCCTTAGATGTCAGTGTGTTGAAAGAGGGCAGGAGAATATGGGTGGGCCAGGGGCCAGGGCCACAAATTCACTGTTGCAACAAAAGGAGCAGCAGAGTCTTCTCCAGCCTCTGGGTTACATGAATATGCCATAGGATTTGTCTACAGAGCAAGGCACCCAATCTGGTGCAGAGAGTCAGGCTACTGGGCTCAGGCTAGCACTCTAAAACTCCCTGTACAGACAAGGCCTTGAAGTGGCAGCTTGTACTAGAACTCGGATTCTGCAGCCTAAGTAGAGGGGTGGGCGTCAGAGCCCCAAGCTGCAACTGCCAACTGCTGTCTATATGGCTGTTTTTAGAGTGCTAGGGCTAGGCCTGCTAGCTCGAGTGAGTTGAGGCATGCAGGGAGGCTCCCTCCAATAGGCAGACAGGATTCCTCTCCCTCAAACTCCATGCACATCTGCCCCTGACTGTATGCTAAGGATCATGTATGTGTATGCAGCTAAACTGGCCTGGCAATCTATATTGCTGAAATCAATAGAAACAAGACCCACCAAAGGGGGGAGGCAAAGGGTCAGTGGCAGCAGGAGCCCCAGGCCCTTTAAAGCGCTGTGCCAGAGTGCTCTGGATGGCTCTCAGGCTGGCTGGGAGGTGGGGGCCAGTGCAGTGTGCTCCTGGTTGTGCTGAGGGTGCCAGGATGCAGGGTCATACCACGCTCTGGGCTGAATAGAGGGCTGGCTGCCTCAACCCTGCCCTATCCACTTGAGGCTCCAATCCTTCCAGGAGCGCAGATACCCCCCTTCCCACTTTATCTAGGGGCCCAGCAACTCTGTCAGCCCCCCTGATAATAACTGAGACTAAGGAAAGGGAGCCTACTGACTTTGCAAGGTGCATAGGGCCCCTAACTTCAAGCCTGGGTCATTCTTGTAAGGCTTACGGAAGTCAAGGAATGAGTCCAGCAGGAGAAAATTCTGCTCTGATGCAGATTAGTGGGACCTGCAACCCTTCAGCACCTCTGAAAAATCAGATTACTTTTATGCAGATGCCTAGATCTGATTTCTAGTCCTGAACTCAAGTCTGAAAATGTTGGCCTCATTTAGGAAGGAAAGAGAAAAAAATGAGAAGGAAAGGAATAGGAAAGTATCTCAGACTTCCTCTGAGAAGATTGCAAAATCACGGGGTTTCAGACTTGGTCACCTGTAATGTGTCACTCTGCTGCCAAAAGTAGCTTTGTGTATGTTTCTGCAAAAAATCAGAGGATGTTATAAACTGTGAGTCATGCTACTGTTGACTTTACAGAGCACCCAGATTGTATATATACAGGGACACTGAAGAGACAGGCACAGAAGGGAGAGTTAAAGGGCTTATTAAACTAGTGATAGGACAAAGAAGTGAAGTTGAAAATGAAGAATCTTTCATTCCTGATGTTACTTTGTGTAACATTTTCATATGCTTTTCCAGTAGTTCCAGAAACAGAGAAGAATGAAGAAGACATGAAGTTTGCTGAGGTAATGATTGTAGACAGTGTGCTTGAATAAAATATTTAGTTTTATCATATTACGATCACAAGAATAACTGTATAACTATTAAGATTATTCTATACAGTCTAAACGAAAAATGAATGTCATGAAATGCGGGTTTTTTTTTCCCTTCAGAAATATCTAGAAAACTACTATAAACTTAAACCAGAGACAGACCCTATATTTAAAACGAAGAACGGCAACCCCATAACTGATAAAATCCGAGAAATGCAGGAATTCTTTGGGCTGAAGGTGACTGGGAAACTGGATTCCGGTACTCTGGAGGTGATGAAACAGCCCCGGTGTGGCATACCTGATGTGGGTCAGTTCAGCACCTTTCCAAGGTCTCCTGTATGGAGGAAAACAGATCTGACATATAGGTAATATTTCAGTCTATTTCCTTGAGTGCCAGTGGGAATACTGTGACCCACAGAAAGAATGAGATGCATTCTTATCATTATGGTAACACACAGGAGTCTGAATCAGGATGACAGCTCTATAGCACTAGGTACTAACCAAACATAGAGGTAGACATATATTGTATGCCAAGAAGCATATTGTTTAAAAAGACAAGACATGCAAATTGAAATATACAGACAGCAAGGAAGCAAAACATTTAGCTTTAAGTACATGTCTGGTTAGTCACATTTTAATTCCTTATATGTGTTTCCTTATTGTGTATTTAAAGGATTTTGAACTACACACCAGACATGGCACAAACTGATATAGATGAAGCCATTGAGAAGGCGTGGAATGTCTGGAGCCGTGTGACCCCACTGAGATTCACCAGAGTTTATGAAGGCAATGCAGATATAATGATCTCCTTCGTGTCTGGATGTAAGATAACCCCCATGAGTGACTGATAAGTATTGACTCCTTTAGTGACAATCCTGATTGAGAAGAATCATACCTTTTATGTATCCTTTCCTAGTTCATGGTGACTACTATTCCTTTGATGGAACTGGTGGAACCCTTGCTCATGCATATGCACCTGGTGAAGGTATTGGTGGAGATGCCCACTTTGATGAGGATGAATACTGGACAAAAGATCTGAAAGGCAAGTAACCCCTTATTATTTCATTGCCATTCTCTACTATGCAATAGTTGATTTCAACAGCTATTAGGTCTTAGAAAGAGACAGGGGGCACAAAAGTAAGCAGCTTAATAATAACTAAGTAATAGCATCTGAGGGGTATGAACTTGCTGTACTTCTCAGCAGAATTCTCCTTGAAATACATGGTTCAGATTCTGATTTTAGTTGCACCCATGCCAATCCATAATGACACTGAAGTAAGACAAGGTTGCTCTGTTCTGGATGCTTTCTGGTTTGTCCATTTAGTTTCTTAAAATGTGGCTCCCAAAACTGGACATCATAGGTTAGTTGATGCCTCACAAGGGCTGAATAGAGAAGTATAGTTCCCTCTTGTGTCTTACTTACAACACTTCTGTTATTGGACCCTAAAATCATATAAGTCTTTTTTGCAATTACATCACATTGCTGACTGATGTTCCATTTGCCCTGGAAAAGGGCAAATATAGTGCCCATTTATAAAAAGAGAAATAAGAACAACCCAGGAAACTACAGACCAGTTAGTTTAACGTCTGTGCCAGGGAAGATAATGGCGCAAGTAATTAAGAAAATCATCTGTAAACACTTGGAAAGTGGCAAGGTGATAGGGAACAGCCAGCATGGATTTGTAAAGAACAAATCATGTCAAACCAATCTGATAGCTTTCTTTGATAAGATAACAAGTCTTGTGGATAAGGGAGAAGCAGTATATGTGGTATACCTAGACTTTAGTAAGGTGTTTGATACAGTCTCGCATGATATTCTTATCACTAAACTAGGCAAATACCTCTTAGATGGGGCTACTATAAGGTGGGTGCATAACTGGCTGGATAACCGCACTCAGAGAGTAGTTATTAATGGTTCACAATCCTGCTGGAAAGGTATAACAATGGGGTTCCTCAGGGGTCTGTTTTGGGACTGGCTCTCTTCAATATCTTCATCAACGATTTAGTATTGGTATAGAAAGTACACTTATTAAGTTTGCAGATGATACCAAGCTGGGAGGGGTTGCGACTGCTCTGGAGGATGGGGCCATAATGATCTGGACAAATTGGAGAAATGGTCTGAAGTAAACAGGATGAAGTTTAATAAAGACAAATGTAAAGTTCTCCAATTAAGGAAGGAACAATCAGTTGCACACATACAGAATGGGATGCAACTGTCTAGGAAGGAGAATGGCAGAAAGGTATCTAGGGTTTATAGTGGACCACAAGCTGAATATGAGTCAGCAGTGTGATGCTGTGGCAAAAAAAGCAAAGTAGGTTAGATAAATGTCTATCAGGGAGGGTCTAGACAGTATTTGGTCCTGCCATGAGGGCAGGGGACTGGACTCGATGACCTCTCGAGGTCCCTTCCAGCCCTAGTATTCTATGATTCTATGATTTGTGCTCCACTATCACCCCACTAGTACTGCTGCCTGGCCAGCTATTCCCCATTGTGTAACTGTGCATTTGATTTTTCCTTCTTAAGTGTAGAAATTTGCACTTGTTTTCATTGAGTTTCATCTAAGTGCTTTGACATAACTTTACAATTTGTTTTGGTCTTTTTGAATTCTAATCTTTTCTCCAAAATACTTGCAACACATCTCATCTTTGGGAAATTTTAAAAGCATAATCTCCATTCCATTATCCAAATTATGAATGAAAATATTGAATTGTACCAGACTCAGGAGAAACCGCACTAGATACATCCTCCCTGTTTGACAAGGAACCATTTGCAACTACTTTTGAAAATGTTTTTTCAACCAGTTGTGCATCTGCCTTATTGTAATTGTGTCAAGATCAGATTTCTCTAGTTTGTTGATGAGACTGCCATGTGGGACTATATCAAAAGCCTTACTAAAATCAAGACATATCATGATGATAGTTTTGCTCCTATGCATTAGGCCAGTAATTCTGTCAAAGAAGGTTGATTTGGCATGATTTGTTCTTCATAGATCTACTTTGTATATACCTTATGTCCTTATTATTCTTTAGGTGCTTACAAATTGATTAATTAATTATTTGATTCAGTACCTTCCCATGAATCAAAATTAGACTGACAGGTGTATAATTCTCCTAGTCCTGTTTATGTATGGCTGTACTGTACACTAAGCCTAGGCTCTTATTCAAGTTTGTGCCAAAGCCCTGCTTCTGTCCTTACACAAGTCAGTCTGATTTGAATCAGCAAGCACTAAGGACCTTGCTGGAGCAGGTGAGAAAAAAGGTATCCCAGGGTATGTCTACACTACCCTCCTAGTTCGAACTAGGAGGGTAGTGTAGACATACCCAGAGTGCTAATGAAGCCCGGGATTTGAATTTCCCGGGCTTCATTAGCATAAGC